ATATACGCATATTTTCCAGTGCAACAGTAGTAATAAAATTTGGAACAAAGTACTAATAATGCTGGCTGAACATATGAAATTGGTCAGCCAACCTCCTAGGTCTATCATACACATAGGGGGGAAGGTCAAGTTGAGAGGACTTAACCCTAAGAGAGAAGTAGGATTAAAAGAATGTCAATGATTGGGAATGCTGTTAAAACAATAAAAGTAATTGCATTCAAAATAAACACTCAGATGACAACAATGAAACTAACTGATCTCACTGCCTGGAAGAAATAATGCAATTAATGAATCTATACATGAAGGTTGTCTAAACATAGTGGAATATTTCGAAAACTAGATGCAAGAGATACACTAAATTTAGCAGTTTAGAAGGAGTGCCAAATTAAAGACCAAGATTGGATCAGGTAAGGAAGGTGGACCAAGCAACCTGATCCTGATGGCTACTTGAGGGTTCATGGGGCAAGCAAAATTCTTCCAAAAATTATAACAGCAAAAATAAGTAATCTAACAGTACATGAGTCCCAGATCTCTCTAGGGTTGCACAAAACACCAGACTCAAATGGAAATTAACTACCACAGAATGCACAATTATTGATACAACAACCATAACTATTTAAACAACAATCAATGCAAGATCTTTCACAGGACAAAAAATCATTGAATTCACAATAAGTTAATAAAAAAATGAACACCACAAATTAAGATTTTTGCAAAACTGATTGAATAAATTCATAATCAAGTCCTTTAACAACCAAAAACTAGTATTCATGGAATGAACAAGGACAAATTCTCTACAATCACATTAGAGACTTACAACCATGCCCAATGGATTTTGCCGATTTATCTCTTGATGATAGTCTTCTTGAAAGTATCTGGCAAATTCTGGTGTATGAACAAGGCATTGTATGGCACTATTCATGAAACATGTATTCCCAAGATTAACCAGCCCATTTAGACCACAAGTAGCTCCCCTTGTAGTGACACCAACACTCCCATTTGTGTTATCCAACTCTCTACCTGGAGACATCAAGTTCTCATTATTTGACGGCTCTGTGCTGCAACTTCTAGAAGCACTCTTGGACGCAGACAAACCTCCTGCAATTGATAAGCTTGACTTAGAAGGCTCTAGAAGAAGAGAAGTAGCTCCTTTATCTGCATATCCAGTTCCCTTAATTGAATGACCTAATGCAGTACCATTTACACTGTTAAGGTCCACCAGAATCTGTTTTAATTGGTTACAGGAAAACGGATGGTTAGAACAAAAAATGACTAGTAATTTACTCCAAAATGATTATTTACTAGAAAATTTGACAACATCTATACATAAAATAATGCCATGTGCATTACAGTATACTCATCATGTTCATGCATGTATTCATGTGCTTCCACATGCATTTGGAAAATACCATTTACATGCATAATGGTGAATGCATGCATAGAACACAAGGACATTTTCTTAACCACTAACGAAGCACAATTTACAAATTTTTTAGAGGAATGGTTCCAGCATCTAGGGATTAATGCATCAGTAAAAACTATTCTACTAGATCTGAGGGATAACATGATGGAGGTAATTGGTTTGAAACATTGTGTCCAGCCTTCTAGAAACATATAATGTAGATTGATCACAGTATATGTGCAATGCACACTTTAAATTTACCAAAAACTGTATATATAAAATAATCTTCCTCAATAACTGTGTGGACATAACAATCTTGATAGTTAATAATAACTATTTAAAGAAAGAGATCAACACGATATCCTAACTATAAACACTTGAGATCCAGGCACCACTTTGCTACACTTTAGATGCTTCAACCCCATATTATAGACAATGCCAGCTTTCCTAAGACATGTCTTGATCAAAAAGATCCAATGAGAAATGGCACCAGATTTTCCACCAAAACAAACCAAAACCACTAGCGATCAAACAAATAGGATAAAAGGCAGAGAGACGATACACACAATAAAGAATAGAAACCCTTCTTCAAAGACTAGAAAGCCCTCTATTACTACAATGTGACCGAGTCTTTATAGGGTACAGATCGTCATGGCATAGGATAGCAGTCCTTTGTTTCACAGCTAAGATTAAGCTACAAATAAATGACTGAATTAAACATCCCAAAAACATTTTATACCTCAGGCCTTAAGAAATAACAGACTAGATCATTCAAGTACTGTAATGTTTCAGAGATCCAGCAAATTTTTGATGACTTCTTTTTGTTTGACTTTGGTTAATGGTAGGTAAATAACAATTTTAGAGATCAAATGACACATGCAAAGTTCCATACATGATAATTGTAAAAAAACCATAAAATGCAGGCTCCTTTTTCATATGTTCAACGTTTCCATCTTATGGACATCATAATCATAAATAATTACGTAAGCAAGAAAAAGAGAACCCACATCTTGATCTGTCTGTAGGCCAGCATCATCAAGTGTTTTGTCCAAGTCATTCATTAATGCATGTTTGTGATGACCATCGTAATCCCAAATGCATACCTGAAATCAGGAAATATTACCAAAGGGCTTATCATTGAAAATTAATTGCTAAAGAAGAACATTTAAGGAAATAGTCAGGCATCTATAATTACTTGCTCCGAATTAAGATAAAAAATCTCGCACACTCTTCGATGAAGCTCACCAATAGTTTCCTGCACATAATGATTCAATATTCAGAAAGTCAAAATGCTTATATACAATTTCCATAGAGAGAAACAACAGGAACAAAAAGGATATAATAGACAAAGATTCAAGTTGTACCTTCTTGCTTATTCTTATGGTAGAACGGTCACCTTTTGGCACCACAAGTAGTTGAAGGCGCAAAGGGTAAACCTCCACTGTCAACTCTGTCTTAGATAACCCTGAGCTTATCACTTTTCGTTCCAATGTTGGACCACCACCATACCTGAATGCAATAGAGATTACCAATGATTCCTTCCTTGAATCTTCATGAAAGAACAGTTCAGTCTTAAAATTTGAAAGTTACTACTAGGATATTGGAAAAAGTTATGACAGTACAACAAATCAACCATTCACTCAGAAAGGTGAATATGCTCAACTCTTGTATTTTATCCATTTAATAACATGAGGTGACCAAGTTCATATCAATATTCAATGGATTAGACAACAGGTTCCCCATGTGATTCACTGATTTAACAAGGTTTCAAAGACTCTTCACCAATTCAACCCTGTTCTGTTATGCCAGCCACCATTTTGATCCAGGTCACTTCAATTTTAGGCTTATCAACTTACTTTAGACATCTTTCTTCCTCTCCGTAAAGGAATTCTTCAGTGGGTGATTTTGTCTATGTCTGTGTCTGTGTATGTTGTTTAGCAACTTTGACATTTATGATAACTTATTTACAATGGTTAACACTCTGGACCCAATATATGCTAAAGGGCACACAAGCTTGTATATCCACCTACTTGTGCAAGTAAAGTTAAAGAAAAGCATAAACAGAAGTGAACTACAGGTGGATATATTGCAAAAACTTGGGTCCTGTAGACAAATCTTAAATTTCTTTATGTGACTTGCAATAAAGTATTAAGAATAATTCAAAATTTTGGTCTACAACCACAATGTCCCATGCACTTTATCATGGCCATAATTACTACTCAAGATAATCATTGTTTAGTGAATTAGCACAAGCCTTAGCAGCTATAACTAAAGCATCAAACTCAATAACCAATCATGTGGCAAGTTTTAACAGCTAGTTTAGAGTTAAAAAAACTTTTCATTTTGCCTACCAAAAAAAAAAAAAAAACGCTTAGAGTTGATATAAATACACAGTGCAAAACCATTACAAGAAAAACTATCAAACCAGCGAAAATAGGCCATTCTAACATCCAGAATGTAAAATATTTCCATAGAACTGACCATGAGTATAATTGGCTCCAAACTTCTTGCGGGAGCAATACATAATCACGACCTTCTAGTAGGGAGTCATGAATCTCAATGCCAATACTGGCGTCTCCTAGTGCTGCATCAGATACCAAATCAGAATTATCAATACCTCCAGGCCTCTTAAATGCACTTGAACCAGGAGAATCGGAATTTGCTGATATGGAGGATCCATCATTGCCATTGTTTTGCTGGTCTTGGTTCACATAACTAATCCAGTATTGCCACCATCTGTCAATAACCAATTAGAATAAATCATTAGATTTCCCCCAACAACTTAAATGCACAATATACCACTCCACACCATCCCTATTCCGAAAAATTAGAGGTTTAAAATGCAGAAGAGAAGCAAAAATCTCATTTGATACTTCAAAATGACAGTCTACATTACAAAATGTTAGCTATTAAACAATTAAAAAGAAACTCATCACGAGGGTCATGACTTGAAGAACTAGAGAGATAAGCCCTCCTATTTCATACACTAAATCTAGAATCCCCAGAATTATATGAAAGCTCAAATCTTTACACTAAAAACACACCCCTAAATGCAGAGTTCCCAAACCTAGGGTTGGCAAACTTCTCCAAGTTCTATCAAGCAACAAGGTTAGGGCTAATATAACTGTGATGAATCTCAATCATCTTTCCCGAGTGAAAGGGCAAATCAAAGGAGCAAAAAAATTTGAAAAACCCTTAAAAATTAGCAGTACTAAGAATAAGCACAGTGCCATCTGCATATGAATCATTGAGATGCAGTTTAACAAAATTGAGAGAGAAAAAGGGAGAAAGATACTAACTTTTGAGTGATGAGATAGAAGGTATCGCCTTCTTTGCTGTTAGCTTCAGCGGCGATAGCAATGTCTCTGATGAGAACCCTCTCTTCTTCCGGGCTCAGCTCCGTGCCGCCGTTGCTGCTGCTCATCGCCACCTCCGTCATCTCTCTCCGCCCGTGGAATTGATTTAAATTATTTTTACTCGTTTTCAGGTGATGTACAGAAGAAGCTGGAGGCAGATCGGAGGTGAAAGAAGATGGTTGGTAAAATATATTTATTAAGTATACCCCAAACGTTTCTCCGTACTCAAAAAATGCCCTAATTATTTTTTTCTACTATTTAAGACCCCAAACCTTTCTAAAATCACTTTTAGGTTTGAATGCCTTAACGTTAATATTCATAATCTTCGTCAATGCTACATTGTGTATTAGTTGTAGATTTTTTTTTTTTGTATTGTAATTTTTTTTAAATAAAAAATTAACTAAAATTAGTAAATGTATGTAAAAAATAATTAAAAATTAAAATTTTACATTTTTAAATAAAGTATTTTTGTAAAAAAAAAAAACAAAAAATATTATCAAATGAAACTTAAGATAGAAATAACATTCCATTTGAAGACCTTCGTGTGGCACTTCCTTAGTGGAATTTTAGTTACAAAAAGAGATGAGATTAAAAGCTTAAAATCTATTAAGGTTATAATAGGAGGCCTAATTAAAAAGTTGGTTTTGTTTAACAAAAGATTTGTAAGCATTTATAACACTAGATTTGGGACTAGTTTGTGGCCAACTAGAGCCTCAATCAACCTCCCTAACTTAACTCACCTAGTCAAGTGGTGCCAATCAATGCTTAACTCTACATTGGAGAGCATTAATTAGCAATGCTTCCTTTACATTAAATAACATCGAGTAGAAGAGCTCTACTCAATACACCACTTGGATTTGGGTTACTTTTAGAAATGCAATGTTGATTGATAACCTCCTTTGTGCAGACAACACTAGGAAATAGTTGTGCAATGGTGTTTGGTCTATTACCTATTAATTTGATATCACTTTGATTTAAAAAGTTAAGTTTTTCACAAATTAATCTATAAACTTCTTTTAAAAATATTAAAATTGTCCTTCCACCACAGTTTCATTTAAGTTTTTCTAATGAAATTTCACATAAGCACCTACATGGCATCACATAGGAGCCAAGTAGATTAGGAAAATTACATTTTACCAATAATCAAAAGATCAAAAGAGATATTATCAATTGTTTAAGGAAAAAAAAGAGTTAAGGTACTAAACACTTGAAGTTGGAATTGAGGTTGATTATGAGTTAAAATAAAATGTAATTTTCTTTGACCACACGGTGCATACACGATGCCCCGTTTGTCAATGACATGAAATATCGAGAAGACTAAAGTAACTTTGACAAATGACCATTTTGACATATTTTAAAAGTTTTTGGACCAGTTTAGAAGAAAGTAAGGATTTTACACTAAACTGATAATATATAGGTCAATGGTTAGTAGATCAAACATTAAATTTAGTCGTTTTCTTTTTTTATCTCTTAGTGCTGTTGGGCTTCCGTTTCTGATTTTTTGTTTTCACAAATTTTTGAATGGTGGAAAATCAAAATTAAAAATTTATTTAAAATAAGTTTTAACATTAATAATTAAAATTATAAAGTTGTTTAATAATATTAAAATTTGTTTCTTTTCATCAAAAAAAATATTTTTGTTCCTATTTCTTTTCTAATCATAATAATATTTTGACAAATAAACATAAAAATAAATGGATTTTTATTATAAAAACTAAAACTAAAACTAAAATTTTAAAATTACGATTATACTAAAAAGGAGGTTTAACAATTTTATTTCAAAATTTTCACCCATTTTACTAATTTAAATTAAATTAATTAGGTTTCTTTACATGGGGACAAAAGTTTAATCCATTTGTATTGTTGAATTGTTAAGGACTGAAGAGAGCTCCAATAAGATAATTTTGAATTCACAAGCTTATTATATCAACTTCATGGTGTCCTTTCTTGGTAAACTAAGGAAATTTGTAGCTGTTTATTTCTAGTGTTGCCTCCATGTTCCATTCTGATGGGGAAAACTAGATGTGCTTACCCTTGGTGGATTGAAATCAATTGTAAAGTAAAAAATTAATCTTTCGCGCCTCCCACCCACCCTCCCCAGTAATTCTATTTTCTTCTTCGTGGTTTGGGCATCACCTCAAAATCACAAAACCTATTGGTGTGGCTACTGATCTTTCAAAACCAACAAATGCATTTTTAGCATATTCTTCTGAAATCTCACTTCTTGACATCAGTGCTGAGCACCGAGGATATGGGCAATATACTTTCTCTGTGACAGGAATTGAGGCTGCCTTTATTCGTTCTTGCAACATCTCAGTTATCATAGGTGGCAAGAATTTTTTGCAGCTCTCAACGAAAAGTATAGCGTCTAATATTCATCATGAAAATGTAATAGAATCCGGAAACACAAAAGGTATAGAGTGTTTAGAATGCTTTAATTAAGATTTATTAAAAAATTAATTAAAAAACATAGCCACTACATGATTATAATCTCAATTAAGAAGAAAAGTTATACTTCATTTTAAATGAGAAAAAAATGCAACTGTAATTTAACTAATGAATGAAATTAAATTTGATAGTAAAAAAAATTGATGGCATGGTGAAAAGAAATGATATGGGTTATATTTATACAATAAAAATAAATCATAATTAATTCGTGTTATAGGTTACGTTACAACTTATTTTAGATTTCAGTAATTTAGAGATGGAAAGGTAAATGATAGTGGTAGTGGTAGTGGTAGTGAGAATCTAACCATTGTTATGGAAAAAATAAAATATATAAACACAAAAAGGTATAGAATGTTTTGAAAACTTTAATTAGAATTTATTGAGAAATTAATAAAAATATAAAATCATAATTACAATTGTAATATCATAATTGAAAATGGATTATTAAAAAATTATCATTTTTAAATTTAAGTTAAAGGTGAAAAACTTTAAAACTATAGAATTTTTTGCTAAATTAGTTCATGTTGGCGAGTGTGTTGAATTAGAAGATGAACTAATTTTTTTTCTTCATGAAAAGCCATTGTAATATTAATAAAAATCATAATAGATACAAATAACAATCATAATGTTCTTTTGACGATAATGGTGAATGAAAGAATGCTGCAAATAATTGATAATAAAGGATTCACCGAGAAACTACTCACCAATTTGATAAATGAACTCACCGACTATGAGGAACCACTTGAGAAAAAAAGAAATCCCTTTGTAGTATTTGTTTATTTTATGATCTAATTTATTTTTTTAATCTTAATATGATTTTATTAAAATAAACATGTGACTCATATTTATTGAAAAAAATATATATTTTTTAGAAATCTAGATGTTAATGGAGTTTTGGTTGGTATTAGGACTCAACAAAAAAGGTAAGCAAATGCCAATAATGTTGTTTGCAAGGAGTTATATATTAAAGATTAAGGTAATTTATATGTTGAAAATTTTTGTTTTAAGTATTTATTTGAATTTTTATTTATATTTAATAAAATACAATAACTAAGATATTGGTTTTGAGTTTTTTTTAAAAGATGTTTAAATATATTTTTGGTTTGCCCATAGAATTTTTAATCATTTTTCTAAACCTTGATATGGTAAATTACACTACAAGATTTTTAACTTATTAAATTTAATTATGTTAAAAATAATTACACAATGTGGTAAACTTAAAAAAGTCTCGTGCAAGACACAGGCTAAAAAGACTATTGTAAAAATATAAATTTTTAATTTTTAATTATTTTTATATAATTTTACTAATTTTAATTAATATCTTATATATCTTAAAAATAACAAAAGACAAAAAACTCATTATTTTATTGCGGTTATTGTGACCGTTTATAATGTTAAGAATATTAATTTTTTTACAATATCATACAAAAATATTAATTATTTTAATAATTATAATTATTAATTATTTTAATAATTATAATTATTAATTATTAATTATTTTTATCAATAAAATAAAATAAAATTAATACTTTTAAAATAAATATCTTACAATTTTTAATAATCTTAACGTACGTTAACATTATGAGCGGTGGCACCACAAGCCTGCCCCTACTGCTGGAGCAGTCTATTTGAGTATCTACGAAGTTCCATTTATGTACTGTACCTTCTATTTGTGTACTGCATCTACTAACTTCTATCTATGAATTTTTTTGTTTTTGAGATATTTACGTGCTCTGGCTGCCCTGACGAATTCAACCTCCACCGTCCGGTTATCGTCGAAGAGGCTACTGATTTCTTTAAGGGTATCGGAGTTTTAGATTTCACTTTTGATAGTTGCAGACTGGTATTCAACTGATTCCGCTTAGATACCACCATTAATATTCTCAACTTATATTAATGTTAATCAAGTGGGATTATTTCATTCTAATCTTGGTTTTATTCCTGTAGCTCATCATCCTAACATCAATGCTGCTGTTGACCTACCATGATGAGGTGGTGAAGATGAAGGGACGGGTGATTTGCAATATGTTCAGGTGATCAGTGCAACTATTCCTAATCAAACAAACTGAAAAAATAAAAGAAGAAGAAATAAAAATGTATTATATTTATATAGCATCTTCCATTGAGAAATTGATGGATTATTGATGTCTACAGATGGCTGTGACTACTTACAATACTTCACTCCCAGCTTCAGAAAGATATAAAAATGGAAAATCTTAAATAGCCTGATTATCTTTTCTTTTGGGCAAAATATTCAGTTCATAGCAAGAAAATATCAAATTTGAATAAATTTTTTTCCAGGTAGAGTACAAGTAGCTTTAGTTTGGAATTCGAGAAATGAAAAATCCCTCAATTCAGACAAATTAAATGCCTTGGCACATGTGAGCTCTGTCGCCAATTTTTTTCCGTTGTTCGGTTCCTTTCCCTTTTATTATTAGTCCCTGATATGCTTGATAGTTAGTTCTGTTTGATGATATGCAGTTTTTTTTGCAGAAATGGAGGGCTGAGGAGTAATGTCCATTTAATTCATTTTGTATGGGCTAATATTCAGACATCAACTAACAATTTGAGTAACTGTATGAAGTTTATTTGGAAGGAATATCTTCTACTTTTATTGTGTTGCTGGACCTTCTTTTTTTTTTTGTTTAAAGACTTGTGTTCTCTTGATGATGCAGATAATTTTTGGGAAAAGGTGGAGACATTTTAAGAGGAAAGAGACTTTTGGGAACATGTTGGAGGAATTGATATATCATTGCATCCTTCTAGTTTTGGCCAAGCAAATACACGAGTAAGTCAGAAGTGCCATTTTCTAAAAGCACCGTAAAATATTTGATTTTTTGATTATTGTTTTGCTCTTTGTACATCCCACTATAAATAAACTTTTATTGTACTTTGCTTGATTGAAATTCTGTTTGGCATTACTTAGTTGTAATTCTCCTTTTCGGGCCTTTGATATCTTGCTCCGCTAATTTACAAAGGAATGTCCCTTATGGAGCATCTGTGGCTGATTTGTATGCAGGGGCTGGGGTCATTGGATCATCATTAGTTGCCACTAGAAAATGCAGGCAGGGGCAGATGGTTCTAACTGCTATTTCACTTTCATACTTGTCTTGCATTCTGATTCCAAATTTATTGCCATTCATTTCGAGGTCTGTTAAGTGCACTGAGGTTGACAAAGAGTCAAAACTATCATTTGAGAAGACAATTGACTGTTTACCAAAGCTTAGTAGATGGCAGCATCAGCTAGCATCATGCAGATAGTGCAGTAGTTTGTTTTCAACCCTCAAATAGTCTATGCTTCTACATATCCTATCTGGTTTTCTTTTTACCAGATAAATACATAAGAACTGAGGATTTTGAATATGAAAATAGAGCAATCAGTGATTATGTTTCTAACTACATATTTAAGAAAATGAAATGTTGCCTTATTTAGCTCACCTTTTCTAATTACATATCCTTTATGCATCCAGGCAGTAATGATACATATCCTTTATGTTTTCTCAGCATAAGTGTGAACTGTTGCCTTATTTTCATAGTTTTATGAATATTAGTATTGATTATGCAGTGCCTTGGGCTTCCTCTGAACCTGGCTTCAACATAGTGTGAAATGATTTAGAACTAATTTTATGAATTATTTATTTGTTTTTGCAGGATCCTCTTTCTTGGCTTCTTTCTTGGCTTGTGGGATCAAAGTTAAGGTTGTTGATGCTCCTAGGAAAGAAGGACTGGACTTGTCTTTGATTGATGCATTAAAGACTATATCATTGTGTGAATTTAAGTCATCAGTTCCAAGGTAGGGCAATTTCCATCTATCACAAGCTATTAAATGGATCTTAAGGTGTTCACCTTAAATGCCATTTAGTTCATTTTTGTAAATTGCATCACTCTATGCATTTCTAACCATTAATGCATTATATGTCTATCTCAGTTTAAATTCAAAGGCAAAAGAAGAAAAGAGACTGTGGATTCTTCGTGCAACAGAACATGCAAAAGAAGCTTTAGTTCAGTTTGGGAAAGAAACAACTTCAGAAGACAATCCATCATTGGCATTGCCTCAGACCCTCATTTATATAAGCTGTAGTTGGGAAAGCTTAGTTTTTTACTTCTTTTGCCAAAATAAGATCATATTCTTAATGGGGAGATTCCAACTTTTATTGGCTTGTTTTTCTAAGTTGATTTAGAAGAAATTGATTGACAAAGGATTGCCATGTTGGCAGAAGCTTCTAGTTCCAGCCCATAAAAGTCCACCCCATTTTTCTACCACCTATTGCAAGAGGTTGTAAGCTACAGCAGCAATTGTGGAATATTTACAATGGTTATTTCAACCATTGTACATGAACCTCATTTAATGAGGTAGAAAAATTTGCACCGGGTAGTTGGGTTTTTACCCTATAAATAGCATGCAATGGCAAGGTAATAGAAAGGCAAGCAAGAAAGAAAAAGCAAGAAGCAAAGAGTGCAGCACCAAAGTGAGCAAAAAGAGGGCTCCGGGGAAAGGGAAAAAAAAAAGGGTGAGAGCTAGGCATTAAAAGCTTAGGTGTAAGAGTGCTCCATAGAGAGAGTACATTGAGTGATAAAATTGTGAGTTTATCAGGATTGTGATCATATCCTGGGGGAGTGGGAAACACCAAGAGAGAAAAAATACTTGCGTGTATACTTTGTACAATTTTATCACATAGTGAAATACTCTTCGGAGTTTGTCCCGTGGTTTTTTTTCTCTCAATAGTTTTTGGGGGTTTTTCCACGTAAAATTTGGTGTTATTTTGCTTGATTATTTTCCCGCTTAAGTGGCTAGTTGAACCGCCCATTTTATTTATATTTCTTAAATGGCTGGTTGAACCGCCCAATTTATTTTGCTCGACTGGCTACGCCGCCTTTTTCACTAACCGTTAATATTAGTCGGCTAAGCCGTTTGTTTCACCATTTATTTGTTATTGTTCACGTGTTTATTCACAGGAATTAATTTATTCTGCTGCGCCAATTTTTCCCAACAATTGGTATCAGAGCTAGGCGCTATTAATATTCACGTGAACAATGGAGGTGAACCAGAGCAAAATGATCACGCTGAATAGTTCAAACTATCAGTTGTGGAAGGGGAAAATGGAAGACCTTCTTTATGTGAAGGAATTTCATGAGCCTGTCTTTTCAGAGCAAAAGCCAGACAGCATGAAGGATGAATAATGGAGGCTACTTCATAGGCGAGTGTGTGGATTTATCCGGCAATGGATTGATGATAGTGTGCTGAATCATATCAATGATGAAACTGATGCACGCACACTATGAACAAAGTTAGATCAGCTTTTCCGGGTGAAGACTGGGCAGAATAAATTGTGCCATATAAAGAAATTAATGTACTCAAGGTACAAAGATGGCACTCCCACAGCAGACCATGTTAATGATTTCCTTGGCATCATCAAGGAGTTAGCCAATTTGGGCATAAACTTTGATGATGAAGTGAATGGTCTGATTCTTCTTAATACCTTGCCGGAATCATGGGAGAGTTTTAGATCAACAACAATCAACTCATCTCCTGGTGGTCAAGTCACACTAGAAATTGCCAAAAATAGGATCTTTGAAGAGGAAAAAAGGATGCGGGCACTTGGAGTCTTCTTGCAACCAAATACTCAAGCTCTTGTCATGGACAATAGAGGCAGGAGTAAAACCAGAGAACCCAGAGGACGAGGAGGCAGATCCAGATCAAAGTCCAAAAGTGGAGTGAAATGCTATCATTGTGGCCAGCTAGGCCACATGAAAAGGAATTGCTACTTGTTGAAAGGAAAAGACAAGAAAAAGGTTGAAAATAGCAATACAACCGCTGTAGCATCTACCAGTGGCGGTGACGTGACTCTACTATGTGATCGTGGGGAGTGCTGCCATGCAGAAAACTCAAATGCTGAGTGGATAATTGATTCTAGTGCCTCTTATTATTGTGTTACCAAAAGGGAATATTTTTCAACATACAAAGCAGGAGACTTTGGCACCATAAAAATGGGAAACAAGAGTGTTTCTCATATTATGGGAGTTGGTGATATCTGTGTCTAGACAAATGTTGGATGCACATTAACACTAAAAAATGTGCAACATGTTCCTGATATGCGTATGAACCTGTTGTCTACAAAAGCACTGGATGAAAAAGGATACGTATACTACTTCGGGAATGGCAACTGGAAACTCACCAAAGGATCAATGGTGGTGGCAAAAGGGAGAGCATGTTGCTCATTATACAAGACACACATGAAAATGTGTGGAGGTCAATTGAACACAATTGAAGATGAGGCTTCTCCAAATTTATGGCATAATAGATTAGCTCACATGAGTGAGAAAGGATTGCAACTTTTGGCTAAGCAGTCCCTCATTCCCATGGCCAAAGGTGAATATGTGAATCCTTGTGATGTTTGCCTATTTGGAAAGCAACACCGAGTTTCTTTTTAGAAAAATTTGACTCGGAAGGAGAACAAGCTAGACTTGGTCTACTCTGATGTTTGTGGTCCCCTGGAGGTAGAGTCGTTTGGTGGCAATAAATATTTTGTTACCTTTATTGATGATGCAACTCGGAAGACTTGGGTATACTTGTTGCAGAATAAAAGCCAAGTTTTCAAGTATTTCCAGCATTACCACGCTATGGTGGAAAGGGAGACGGGGTTGAAGTTGAAATGTCTCCGTACAGATAATGGAGGGGAGTACACCTCCAAAGAATTCAGAGACTACTGTTCCAAGCATGGCATGAGGCATGAGAAGACAGTTCCTGGCACACCACAACACAACAGTGTTGCAGAACGGATGAACCGTACCATTGTGGAGAAAGTTCGATGCATGCTAAGAATGGCAACTCTACCTAAGCCATTCTGGGGTGAAGTAGTCAACACAGCAGTTTATTTGATCAACCGATCACCTTCAGTTCCTTTGAATTTTGAAATCCCGGAGAAAGCTTGGACGAGAAAGGACATTGGATACTCTCACTTGAGAGTGTTTGGGTGCAAAGCATTTATGCACGTGCCAAAGGAACAAAGATCAAAGCTGGATGATAAAACTATTCCATGCATTTTTGTTGGATATGGTGATGAGGAGTTTGGCTACCGACTATAGGACCCAGAAAAGAAGAAAACTGTCAGAAGTAGAGATGTCATGTTTCATGAACACGAGAAAATTAATGATTTGAAGGAGGACAAAGGTACAGGAAGCTCTAGAGAAGGTGTAGAAGATTTAACACCGGCAAAAACTGCTTCAAGAAAAATTACAAATGAAAAAGAGGTGCAAGCACCAAAAGATGAGACAAAGGAGCCAACAATTGAAGAAGATGAAGCAAGTGTAGATGGGGGAAATGATGAGCAGGGGGAGCAACCCCTGCCACATGAGGAAAAACCTCAGTTAAGAAGGTCCACCAGAGAGCACAAACCATCTGCAAGATACCCCAGTTCTGATTACATCTTGATCACTGAAGAGGGGGAGCCAGAGAACTTCCAAGAGGTGCAGTCTCATAAAGACAAAGACTGCTGGATGAAGGCCATGCAGGAAGAAATGAACTCCCTACATAAAAACAATACTTATGAGCTTGTGGAACTTCCCAAAGGAAGAAAAACCCTGGAGAACAAATGGGTGTTCAAGCTCAAGAAAGATGGTGACAAGATAGTTAGATATAAGGCTTGGCTGGTGGTAAAGGGCTTCAGTTAGAAAAAGGGGATTGATTTTGATGAAATATTTTCCCCAGTGGTGAAGATGAGCTCAATTCGAGTTGTGCTTGGTCTAGTAGCAAGCATGAATCTTGAGCTTGAGCAGTTAGATGTCAAAATTGCATTTCTTCATGGTGACTTGCATGAGGAAATTTATATGGATCAGCCAGAAGGTTTTGAAGAACAAGGGAAGGAGCATATGGTTTGCAAATTGAAGAAGAGCTTGTATGGACTAAAGCAAGCTCCAAGACAATGGTATAAGAAGTTTGACTCTTTTATGATGAGTCATGGTTGCCAAAGAACAAATGCAGATCCATGTGTCTACATCAGATTATTCCCTGATGGCAACTTCATTATCCTTTTGTTATATGTTGATGATATGCTAATTTTGGGACAAGATGTTGAGAAAATTTGCAGGTTAAAAGAGGAGTTATCAAAGTCCTTTGACATGAAGGACTTGGGACCAGCAAAGCAAATTCTGGGTGTGGCTATTACCCGTGATAGAAAGGTTGGGAAGCTGTGGTTATCATAGGAAAAGTATGTTGAACGGTTGCTTGAAAGGTTCAACATGAAACATGCTAAGCTAGTTAGCACTCCTCTTGCAAATCACTTCAAGCTAAGTAAACAATCTTGTCCAACTACCAAAGAAGAAAAGGAGAAAATGTCACCTATTCCTTATTCTTCTGCAATCGGTTCACTGATGTATGCAATGGTATGTACACAGCCAGACATTGCCCATGCTATTGGTGTTGTGAGTAGATTCTTGTCTGATCCAGGCAAGATTCACTAGGAAGCTATTAAGTGGATCTTCAGATATCTGAGAGGAACTACCAAGTTGTGTTTGACGTTTGGGCAAACTAAACCAATTCTAAAGGGATACACAGATGCAGACATGGTAGGTGACCTTGATAATAGAAAATCTATTTCAGGGTAT